TAACAATTATTGATATGGTCGATTCGTTAAAAATGAAGTTATTGAAAAAAAAAACAAACAATGAGAAAAATGCTCCTGGAAAAATACTTATTATTTTCTCTATGATATGTTTGTTTAGTATGGGAAAAGAAAAAAGATGACAAGAGGAAAGGACATAAAAACAATGATATTAAAAGAAAAACAGAAACCTCATAAATTATCTTTTTTTCTTTTGTGATAATTCAGCTAAGAATCTTCTAAACATTTCTATTTACTTTCAAATCAACTGCATGAACACTTATTTTTTTATGATCTCTTCATGATGAATACTTTGAAATGATTTATCAAAGCTGTTTCCCATCTGTCTGTGATCTTTTCCACACATTGGTGTCATCATGCACATTTAATGCCTTTCTACAATGTGTACTGTTGGTGCCACTACGCCGCATCTTTATATATATATATGTATACGTATATTCAAAATGAGAATACATATATTTGATTTTTTTTGTCTAGTGCAAGTGAGAAAATAAAATATGAAATGGTACTTAATAAAGAAAAAAAAAAGGTGTTATACATATGGCTAATTCATCTTTCGTCTTGACCACCTGTTCATTAGTGGAAAAAAAAAGAGAAATCAAGATTGCATAATTCCATTTGGTTCGGTTTGATAGTCAATTGTCGACGAGAAAGAGAAAGCGAGGGACCTACATTCTCTTTTATTTCCCCTCTCTATTTCAATGGTCATTTATCATTTGTCATTCTCTTATATTATTGTCCATAAATACTGAATGTCGTCTCAAGTAGTAGTGTTCACGTGTTTGTACATATATATATATATATATATATATGTATACTTTGAATAAAGGTCGATAGCATTCTATTGTTTATAGTATTGAACATTGTTTTCATTTTTATTATCTCTCACTTTTCATTGATTTGTCTTGGGAGTGCGCGGTACGTTATAGTTTTTCTTTTTCTTCTCTCTTCGTGGAACAATGCCGTTTGCTACTTGATACTCTTATGCAGGAGGTATAGTCTCAAAGAATAATATTATAGATAGAAGTATAAAAAAAATGATTGACCGAGCAGCTGCAGCTTCAGGGTCAACTACACAATCGTCGTGAGTCAATCAGCAGTTCGTTTTATCTTTTTTTTTTGCCTATAATGGAACTATAGTCAAGAGTTAATGGATAACGACGTTAGTAGAACTAAAAGAATATGAAGGAACGAAGACATACAAGGATAAAAGCATACATTCTTATACACAAATTATAGGCTCCTGTTGGACAGACGAAGGAGAGATAGTAGTAAAGATATGCAATTATCCATTTCCAGTCGGACCGCGCCGACCTTCACGCACGCATATGAGATCAACTACTGAATCGTAGGAGTGTTGACATATATGTTGAAAGATGATGGATTGGTTTGAGGGACGAACCACTTTCGCCGATACTCTTCATAAATGAGCTGTGTATATACACACATATATGTGTAAATGCATCTATAAAAATACTATTGTATTTTTATACAAGGTAAGTGAACATAAACCAGAGACACTTTTAAGTGGTATCATATGTATAATACATAGAGAAAGAGCAAAAAGAATCCTAATCATTAACAGTTTTTTTTATTACATAATTATGTTTTTATTATCGAGCTAAGAAAAAAGTTATCAGAAGAGGATAACTGAAGCCAAATGAATTGATATTTTGTTTGTTTTGAAGTGTTTTATATGTGCAATAAGAAGAATAAAGTTACTTCTTTATTATACAGTAAAGAGAAGATCAAATTTCTATTAAATGTTTAATATACACTAGAACACGTACTTCAATGATAATTTCGTGAAAAAATTCCATTTGTAATAATAATTATCGTGTTACATTAAATTATTTGTTTTTTTTTATCATGAATATTATATTTTTAGATTAACACAAAAAAAAAATGATTTTACATTTATTTTTATTATTATTTCAATGGCAAATTAAACAAATATATGGAGAAACTATTAGTGGTTGTACAATAAATAATAATAATCGACGAATAAATAATGATAAAACATCAGTTACATTATCTTGTGCTAATAATGGTTATATTTTAGTTAGAAATTTAACATTTGGTGTACATAAAACTTCATCATTAGCAATAAAACCAACTTGTTCATATCAACCAGGAGATTGTACAACAAGGACAACATATATTGGAATGGAATGTAATGGACTTACTACTTGCGATCTAGATTTAAATCCACAATATTTACATATATGTAAGTGATATTTAGAATTCTGCATGAAGTCAACTAAAATTTTTTGCTAAAAATTTAGTTTTAACATATGAATTTTCTTTTGAATATTAAGTTTTCTTCTCTGATATTTACTGTATTTCGCTGGTTGCCGATCTGGTCCGGTCGAAATTTTGAAACTGGTCGGTTCGATCCGTTAAAAAAATAACTCGATCGGTTCAAAGTATGCAGTAGATATTTGAAAATAAAACGTACTATTCAAAAAAAAAAGTTCATATTTCAAAAGTGAATTTTCGATAGAAAAATTTAGTTGACTCCGTGCACGACTCTAGTGATATTAAAGTCTATGTCTAATGATGAATACGAAAATGTTTATTTATTTATTTTCTTTTGTTTGTGTTATGTATAATAGGTAGTCAATACAGTGATTACATGGTACTCGATTATTCATGTTTACAAGGTCAAAGTATATCTGTTTGTGATAATCGTTTAATATCAACGTCATTAAATAACGAACATCGTTTATTTCTTCGTAGTCCAAATTATCCATATGAATATGAAAATTCATTAAATTGTTCATGTGAAATAAATGCAAAAAAATCTCATATAAAATTTCTTGATTTCTACCTTGAAGAACGTGATGAAATGAATATATGTTCACGTGATAATTTACAAATTGATAATCGATCATATTGTGGTTCAACTATTGATGAAAATAATTTTTTATCATCATCGATTATTTTTAATTCATCATTTCAATTAATATTTAAAACAAATGATGTTATTACAAGAAAAGGTTTTTGGTTAACAGTTAATAGTGAACAACCATTACAAGTATCATGTAATAATCTAGTTGAATTGACTTCTACAACAACAACAACAACAACAACAACTACAACAACAATTACAACAATAACCACAACAACAACAGCAATTCATTATTCAATATCAACTTCTCCTATTCCGCTGACTGAATCATCTAGTTTAAATCATAATAATAATACTAATAAACGTCGTCATACACTTTCATATATTCTTATATTAACTATAGTCTTTGTTGTTATTCTTTTATTATTAAATCTTATTTTAATTATACTTTGTTGGAGACAACGACGACCAAAAGACAATATTAATTCAAAAACTAATTGTACCACTCGACCATTTTTTTGTTCAATACGTTCATCAACATCAACATCATCGTCATCATCATCGATAACATATGGTGAAACACCAGTTTTAACATCACTTGATACACAAAAACAACAAACATTATCAACAAGATATATTTTTCAACCAAATTCACAACATTTAGATACAACACCATCAACATCAACAACGACAACAACAGGTCCATATGAAGATCCTCAAGAATCCATGACATTACAAGGATCATATAATAAAGAAAAATTATCTGATAATCATTCAATTTATATGCAATATCGGCCAACATTTTCTTCTCCGAATACTGCTTATAATCGAATGATTCATTTTCCACCGGCACCTATTCGTTGTCATTTTAGTACACCAGTACAAACTTTTTATCCTCCTCAACCATTGTTTGATTCTCAACATATTTATGAAACCATACAAGATGGACATTGTCCATATCAACGATTAGCAGCTACACTTCGTCGACAACAACAACAACAACAACAACCATCACAATGTACATGCCATTATGAACATAATGAAGAACTATATCCAACAAGAACTCATAATAATGAAAATTTAAATACTATATCTAATCCGGAAACACTAGTCTGATAAGAAGGAGAAATGAGATTTGAGGCGAATTTTGTTTTCTTCTTATCTTGCCATGTTTTAATATTTTTTTTTTGTTATTGTCTTTATTTGTGTGATGAAATGAAATAATAATAGAACATTTTTTATCTAAATTAAACAAAACAATCTATATGTATAGTGCCGAACAAAAGTTTAGAGCAGGTGGATTTTTAAATTTTCTTCTCGATGGTAATAGCTAGTAAGAATCTGAAAAAAATAATTGTATAGCTGAAAGGATTCTCTATTAGGATTGGTAGGTCTAAAGACTTCAGCAAAACTACTTGAATGAGAGTATGCGAAAAATCGAGACCCCAAAATCAGTTTTCTAACGTCCATTTGAATCTGTTGGAAAAAGATTCTGAGTAAAATTATATGTCTCTATGATCTTCCTTCGTCGAACTACATTCAATTTACCGAAGCATCCACAGCGTCAAACATGACAGAAGTATTGAAAGTCTCAATAGAAAAAAAGAGAACAATGCTTCTTGAACTCCCTGTAAATTGAATGCAGTTTGATAAAGGAAGGTCATAGAGACATGTCATTTTGCTCAGAATCTTGTCTTCAAAATTTCGAATGCAAGCCAGCAAGCTGGTTTTGGAAGTCTTAGTTTTTCGCACACGCTCATCTAAGCACTTTTGCTGAAATCTTCTAGCCTATCACTCTTGATAGAGAATCTTTTCAGCTACACAACTGTTTTTTTTTCAGATTCTTGGTAGTCATTACTATCAAGAAGAAAAATTAAAAGTATAGCTGCTCTAAACTTTTGTCTGCTACGATAAGTTGTGAATTATCTGCAAAATAACATTTCTTTTTTTTTTATTAACAATAAATATTTGAAAACTATTACAGAACAAAATCTATACAGTAAAAAAAAGTCTTAACACATTCTCCATGTATCCATTGTCCTTCGAGTTTTGTTCCATCAGAAGAATAAAAAATACCATTTCCATGCAATTTTCCACATAAAAATTCACCTTCATATCGATCACCATTTGCTCATGTATACACACCTGTACCTATACGACCATTACTTATCCAAGATCCAACATACTGATCTCCATTTGGCCAGATATAAGTTCTTTCACCTTCACTTCGACTAAATAAATAATCTCCAATATACTGATGACCATCAAATGATGGTCGTGATCCTTGATCATAAAGCAAACCATTAATAAATTGGCCACGATAGATATCTCCATTACTGGCTCGATAAATACCTTCACCTGTACATGTATTATTTAACCATTGACCAAGATAGATACTACCATTCGACCATTTATATACACCATAACCATGTCGTTCTCCAACATCATTGAATTCACCATAATATTCATCACCAACGGAAAATTGTTGTCGTTTTGCTTCTGACATAATAATGATTAATTTGAATTCTATTCTTTATAGCAAGATTATTATATCTTTTAAAAGTGTTTGATAAATAGATATATGATTATTTTAAATCATACCACTGATCTATACTTTTTGTAAGAAGAGAATAGATTTTATGCATAATAAGGAAGCAGAAAAAAACCACCAATGACAATCGAATCTAAGGAAATATAGGGAATTTCCAACACGCATGCCTCATGTTTAAAAAACTCAACATATAAGAGTGATAAAAGAACGCATGTATAACATCATATAACGTAACTTTTTGTACAAAAAATTTCGTAAAAGAAAATACCAACTACACTTATCTGTAATATTGATCAAAAAAATTTCATTAAAATAAATATCAGAATGTTATGGAAATAATTCTTCCAGTAATAAAACATGTTTCATAAATTTAAAAAACATTAAATACAAAATCAAACATTACTTTATAGATCACACGATGAATTAGATTTGTTCTCCTATTTCTATTGTATTAAAAAAGAAATTAAATAATTGTTGAAAACTAATATCATAGATGTTTATTCAGTTTTAACGATCACGAGAAAACATATGATCGATTTTAACAATAAAAATAATTTCCTACGTAATATAAAAACAACAAAAGCTCTAAACAAGATATTTTCCATCATCAAATAAACATGTATTATCATCAAGTATAGTTATATTTTTAAGATCAATAAAAACATCAATATGAAATCGTGTTTGTTTTGTTTTAATAGCACTGGTTTTATAAATATTATGTTTTTTTCCAAGACTTATATGCATACCATGTTGACGTTCAAATGCAGAAATATCTGTTACTATTGCTGATTTTCCCATACCTAAATAAAATATATTTAGTTAAATTTAAAATAGAATAAATGAATACCTTCATTTAATCCTAAACCAAATTCACGAACACAAATTTCACCTTCACCATCTCGAATAAGTGTTAATAATTGATTAAATGTTTCAGTTGAATTTTTTGGATAGATACCATTTTCAGGATCAAACTCTATAAGACCATTTTTGATTGTTAATACAATTGGTTCAGGTGGTATTTCCAAAGTTTTAGCTAACGATGGATATGCCCAAATAGACATTTGTCCATTTACTTTCGATAAATCACGTGATTCAGTAAATACTTCTCTAAATATGTTTAAAAAATAATAATTCAAACAAAATTATTCTACAAAGATTCTTACCCAATTGGATATGTACCACCAATTCCTGACATACCTTTATAGTCACCAATATTTAATTTACAATCATTCATACCACCCGTATATTCACATTGACTACCATCTTGACATTCAACCTATGAAATGATCTATAGATTAGATTATTTTCTTGAATTAAAAAAAAAACTTACTAGAACTTTTTGACATTTATCTAATTTATCTTTAATACGTAAAGCAAGATCACGATATTTAACAGGTGAAAAAGCTAATGATTCAACATAATTTTTATATTCTTTAGGTTTAATAATATTTAAATGAAGATGTTCAATAGTTTTAATATTTCGTTTAAATAATTCAAGACGTATCCGATATTCATTTAAACGAAATTGTTGAGATTGAATAAGAATAACACAATCATTTGCTTTTAGTGTTGCTAAATGAGCTAATATATCATCAGCTGTATGCTGATTAAAATTTGTAAAGTCAATATTTGTATGTTCATTAGCTATATCTGCATAAGCAGCTGTTAGTATTTGTGTTAATTCAACATCTTCATCATATAATATATAAACACGTTCCGATGGTTGAATATGAAGTGAATCATGTAAAATAGCTCGAATATAGGTTTTTGCTCGATCAACTAAATCTGCACCTTCATTTGATAATTCTTTTGTTGGTTTATAATTCGAAGTAATTAATGGTGATTCTGTTTCTGTCACCATTTTGATTTTCTACAACAAGAAAGTCGATCTATTATATACTCTTTTTCCTATAAACAACAACAAAAAAAAACACAGATTTGATGAACAGTATATTTTTTTGTAATGAGAGATGAAAAAAAAAATAGAGAACAAAATTTAAACAAATCGTCGTCGTTTAATTGCTGTTGGTGTTGACGAATAATCATTTTCATTACTATTATTATCATAAACTTGTGTCCAAATATAATTAAATGAACGTTTATTATCTGTTGTCATCGATTGTGGATATGTTTTAACTTGATAATAATCAGATGGTGCATGACAAACAAATGAAAGGGAATTTAATGAACGTGGATATTCTTCATTAGGTCCTTTAAAAAGAAGAACAAAAAAAAAAAGAATCAAAACAATAATTTTAAAATTAAAAAAAAAAAAGAAATTGGTTTTTTACCTATTGAATAAGCATTCGGATCAAAATGAAAATTATTTGTTGATGCTTTTAGTGATGTTGGTAATAACCATGTTAGAAAAGCAAATGCATTTACATGTTCATCTTGAAATAAAGCACGAATTTGAGCATAAAAACATGAGAGATTCGCATCAATTAAATATACAATATCACCAACTTCAAAACGGCGTCCCTTTTTAAAATCAAAAAATAAACGAGATTTATATTTAAATGTTTTTTTTTTATTTTACTTTTGAATATAAAACATCTGATAGTTTGAATGTTGTTGACTGAGATAAACATTTTTCAGGCTAAAATAAAAATTTGAAGATTTTTATTTATTATTTTTTTATTTACTTTATATTACTTTTTTTGATTTAAATGCAAGAGTTTTTCTATTTGAACGAAATGATGGCTGTTGTCTTGTAGAAATTTTAATTGGTATTTGAGATTTAATTGGTTCAATAATTCTTGATCGTTTTGATTTTGTTATAATTGATGAAGAAGTTGATGATGATGATGATGATGATACTAATTGTTCATCTTTATTTATTTGTGTTGAAAAATGAAAACGATTTTCAAATGTTGTTAAATCTTCAATATTTGTATCGATACGTTTTAATTTACAAAATTGATTCGAACTTTTTGAATCATTTAAAAAACAGTTGTTACATAGTAGAAGATCACGAGCTGGTACACGCCAATAAACGGATGTCATCGTATCACATTGACGACAGCGTGGTTTACGTGGATCAATTCTTGAAGAAAAAAAATATTAAGTTAAGAAAAAAAAATTTTTTTGAAATCATAAATAAAAACTTACGTTGATTGCTGATGAAATCGAGACATTTCTAACGAGAATTTTATCTCGTTTGTTTAATAGAAACAAATTTCATTAAAAATGTTGTATGTGTGTGTATGTGTGAAAGCTTTTTATTCTATTCTATAGCAGAATGTTATCAGAACCAATCAGATTTGGATATTTATTGAACACAAGAGGGCGCTGAATATTAATAAAATCAGCAGTATTTCTAATGACAAATGCACCAAGCACAAGTAAGATACCACTCATATTTCACAATTTGCTCAGAAAGCAGAGCATATGTAGTATACATAGTTGATTAAATTACGTTTTCTTTTCCAAGACGAACTTTTAATAGGAATTCTTTCAGCATACTTTACTTTTTTGTTCTGTTCTCCAATGTTACTTCAATAAAGTTAGGACAAATCAAGGAAAAAAAATGTGTCTTTTTCGCATATCGTGTTCTTTTATTGCTTATAGATATTTTTTTGTCAAACGATAAAAGAAATGAAATTTGTCTTCCTTTATCGTTTAATATCTTATTACAAAAATTTCGTTAGTGTACATTTTGATCTACTCTGCTTATGGTAAAAAAAAATGTACATGTACATATTGCTGTGGATTAAACAATGTGTACTAAAACATTTTGGATTATCTATTAGCAACGTTGATTATAAAAATATCGGTAAATTCACATTAAAGCTGTCAACAGATCACTTTTTTCCGGTCTGGTCCGGGATGTAGGACAAATCAAATCGACTGATATTTTCGGTTTTTTAAATCCACTAAGTTTTATAATGTATCATTCTAGTTTCATTTATATGCTTAATGTATATTCATGAAGATAGTCTAATGACAAATTCTTGTACGAAATAGTGAATTAAAACAAAGAGATAAATCATCAAAAATATTTTTTATACAAGTAATACATTGAATCTATCAAAATGTTTTTGAACATTTCAGCATTGTTTCGTATAATCTGAAAAAAATCAATTATGATGAAAAAACAATATATGATAAGGCATACAACAAAGAAGTAAAAATGTGGATGACTGTATGTGTAGGGATGACACACATTCTACAAAAATCATAAGCTTATGGAACCATCTTATGTTTTGAGTTATACTAGGAAAAATAATATTATATCACACACAAGTTAACAACTTTGGCCGAACCTGATCTATTAACCCGGTTTAATACTAAATGGGCAGATTAGGCCAGGCTTACAACTCTGATGCACATTAATTTCAAGTGTTCGTCACTGAAAAAAAAATAACAACCAGTCAATATCGAGATTTTAGATTTAATCTTGTGTGAATTGTAGAAAGAGTTTGCTTGTTCGAGTAATAAAATGATATCTTTAGTTCAATGCTTCGGATATAGAAATGATTATTGTCAGAAAATAGTAACAATTTAAATTTACTCAAGACTTGAAATCGAAAATGTGTTGCATATTATGCTGAAAAATGCTTGATTTAATTTATCGAGTTATCATTATTGTCGTAGTTATTACAAATTACTGTATAAAGGTCTTATTTATATCTGCATCGTATTTTTCATTGTGTCATGTATATGCTAAGAACATTCGGGTAATAAGTGTTCGAATGTTTCGTCATCATCCGATATATTATTGTTTATGGTAATAAACAAGTTTGTGCAATCCATCGAATACTTGATTCTGGCTCATTTTCACGAGCATCCTTAACTTCATTGATTTTTTCTTCAGTAATTGCTGTAAATTTTCCAGAACGTGATAGATTTGATTTGTAGCTTAGCTGACTCGAATTCGGTCATTTGTAAAACTATTTTAATTCTGATTTCTATAGACACGGACATTTTATCTGAAATACGAGATCAAATTGTAAGAAAAAAAAAATTTAAATCCCTCGAATTGCTGAGGAGTTATCGAAAGGTTTGTTTTCCATTCGAACTTTTGGAACACCCTGTATTTCTGTTAATAATTTCATCATTCAATGATTCTCTTTCCTTTTTCAATCTTATTGATATCAATGTTTAAATTACTTGAGCAATTAACCTGTGATGAAGTATGCATTTACCTATTGATTTTAAGGATCAGTTTAAAAGATCAATGCTGAATAGTTCTGAGGACTGTTCTCTATTCATAACAATGAACAATATCTTTCGTTTTACAGCATACATGTACAGCAGTAAATCTTTTTTTTTCTTTTGCTAATAATTGTCAGAAATTTTCGAATTTTCTAATCACGATTTCTATTATGAATTTTGTTTTTCATTGTTGAAAGAAATACGTTTTTGATGATAAACTTCTTCATCAGTCTAAATAAATATTTAAATTTATTAACTGTATTTATGATAGAAATTCTAACCTGTCCTAAAAGTACACTCCAAAAATTGCTTATATCAGGAGATGATTTAAATCGTCGACAACCTGCTACTAGATTATATCCCCATTCTAATTGTAAAAGTTCATCATCAGGAAAACGTTGTTTCAAATAAATATGTACAAAATCAACAAGAGATATTTTAATATTTTGTTTTGAAGTTGTTGTAGATTCTTGTTCCAAGTCATATTCAATCTTCTATAATAATTAAAATAATTGAATTTCTAATGTATTTATTAAAAAAAAACAAAACAACAAACTTTTTTCCATATATCTTCAATTAAAAGAGAAATATCTCTTTGCATAAAATGTCGATTACGAATATTCGATGTTGTTTGAAGAAATTTTGGTATTGTTGGATCAAGACCAAGACCAATAAAATTTACAACATTATTATACTATATGTATATTCAAAGGAAAAAAATTTTTTAGCACAAAAAAAGTTTTTTTTATATACAATATCATTGCCACCAATAATTTCATTCAGTAAAATATCTACAAGTTCATTACTTGTTTTTCCAATAGATAATTCATTCCAATGTTCTATTCCACCTTCAATTATTGATGCACATCGTTCCCATTTTGGTCTAAATATTTATATTTTACTTCAAATATGTTTTTTTTTTGATTTTATAAACCTAGGAGTTAAAGTAGCACGATAAGTTTCACATAATGTAAAATATTTATCTCGATCTTTAATTAAATATTCAAGTGCTTCTTTCAATGCACTATTGTTGAAAAAAGTTAAATTATTATTGTTATTCTTTTTTTCTTGTTTTGAAATTAAATATATACTTATATTCAACTTTAGCATTACGAAAATTTTGTTTTAATTGTTCCGATGCTTTAACAAGTTCATCATATGTTTGTTGAAGAGCAAGATATTCATTTTTAGGAACATATTCCTTATTATCTTCTTTTAATTTAGTTATACGACGTTCAGCTTCTGCACAATCAAGACGACATCGTCTAAAACATATGAAAGATTTTTATTTTCTTGAATTTTCAAGAAGTTTTCTACAAAAAAAAACACCTTATAGCGACACGAAGTAATACGGGGTCATCAAGTACAGTATTTAACATAGTATTTATATATTCCGATGTTTTACCGATAAAACTTGTTTTTAAATCTTCGATATTCATATGTTTTATTTCAGACGATGAATTTGCTGTAACTGTTAATGATTTACTTGTTTCATCAGTATTCATATCTTTCAAACAGCTGATTTCAAATTAATTATGCTATCACACTACTTTCAATCTTTATTTTTCATTAGCTTGTTTACATAACAAAAACACAAAACATACAAAACTATGGCGAGATTAAAAAAAACCAATATTAATTTTACTTCTGAATATCAATTTTTTCATTTTCACCTAGAGCTTGAGGATTTTTAGTTACTGCGGCTTTAGCCATTGAATATAATTGTACCATTTTACTACTGGGCGAATCCCAATATTCACCATAATTAACTGTTACTTTCATTAATATTAAATCTGGATCATCTAATCCTTGAGGAAAAAATACTTTTAAATAGGATGACCAAAGTTCTTTTAATTTAGCTTTATCATCAACAAATTCAGCTTTACCACTAACAGAAACAAATGACATTTTATTTGGATCTCCATAAGATACATTAACTTGATCAAGATTTTGTTTAACTTCTTTAACTTTAGGAGAAGATCGTTTAGTAAAAAACCATAATGTACCATCCCAAGTTTCGGCTTGACGACTTGCCATTGGCCGTGAACGAAGACTCTTATCTGATTCAATTGTTGTACTAAAATATTTTTATAGAAATAAATTTATTATTAAAATCAATTATAATTTACATCATAGCATAACGAATATCTTTAATTAAATCAAATAATTTCTTTGTTTTATCATCATTAGTTGTTGAAATAAAAGCTAAACTTTGACGTCCAATTAAATTTACATTTTTAAATTGAAATAAAGTTGTTTTAATCAATGATTGCTACAAAATAAATATTAATATGATAAAAGATTCATATAGATACACTTACTGCAAATCGATTCATTGTTATATTATCGTATAATTTATTAAATAATTATTGCGGAGAAAGATCAAGATGGACTTATCAAACTAAACATAAAACTACCAATTAGATTTATTTTTGAGAGATGTCATTAAATGTTATAAACTTTGGAAAACAGATGTTATCCATTGAAATGATTCAATAGAACAATACAAAAATTTAATTTTTTCTTTATCCAAAAGATAAACATAAATATAGTGAAACAAAATCTTTGAAACATCTGGAAAATAAATCTCATTTTGGCATCAGATTTTCCCTTTTTCTTTCTGTTTTATTTTTCTGTTGACATTGTTATCTATCCATTCATCGTTCATTCATTCTATTATTTCGATGTATGAACAATTGACACGCGAACTATATTCGTACATCTGTGCAAATACAAATTAAAATCTCCCAAATCGATGAGTGGAATGTACATGATAATATAAACATATAATTACATCATCATCAAAAAAAAAAAAAATAAAACAAGAGTCTTAAGTATCATTGAACAAGTCAATTAAAACAAATCTTTATTTATTAACGTACTCTTCTTTTAATTAAGATAAATAAGTATTTATATTTAAATAGAAATCTATTTTACCTGATATATTTTCTAGTTCAGACATAAAAAGAAAAAAAGGCAC